CAAACAACTTTGCCTTAGCAGTGACCCACTAGCTTAATGCTAACGTAAAATGGAGAAAAAAAAACAGTGACATACTAATAATTTGAAGTGATAGTGGCAGTGTTACAACCCCTTTACGCAAGGGATACTTAAACACAAACAGTTCTCACAGGCATATATTTTAGAGATATATTCTTTATCCTCTGCAGAAAATGTCTATCAGTGAAGCTTACTGAGTGGTTCAGAATAGTAGTGACTCTTCTTTGTTTGTCTGTATGATTCTATTATACTTGCCCCTGGTGGGAAGGAGCAGCACAATGGATTGGCGTGAAAATTACATTATGAAAGTTTTTAATTCTTTATATGCAATGTAATTATGCTTAGGTTGATTAGCGATGAGTTGTCGATTAATCGATTAATCTTTTCACCCCAAGTTAAAAGTGTAGAATTTTTATAAATTGGATCCAATGAACAGACCTGATAACCGCGGTGCTCTATAAAGATGATGGTTTAGGAAGGGGCGGGTACTTATTGCTGTGTCTGGATATAGAATGACTTCATCCTGAGAGAGCCCATCCCCTCCACCCCCCACTACAAATGCAACACCACCCACCCGTGCTTGGATGTGGCCGGCATGACAGCACCTCTTTGGGTTCAAATTAGTCGATGCGGCTCCATCCCAACCCCCCAGCCCCTAATTCCCGTCAGACAGTCGGGTAATTTAATCGGCCTGTGACCGCCTGCAGCAGTGCACATACTCCAACACACATACACACTCACTCCATATCACACTGAACAAGTGACACAAGAGATGGTCAGGCCAACAAAGATATCACAGATTTTAATCGAAAGGTTTTTCATATGGTTACTAAATACTGTAGCACAGATCAGACCTATTGCTGGTGGGTCAGAAATATCACCAGCGATAAATGGGGGTTCACTGTTCTGTAAAGCCCCAAAAGTGGTACAAGTTGGAGTTCAGTTTTTTTATACATTTATCTCGTTAAGGAAGTTTATTGGTTACTTTTAAAAAATCTGCATAACGGACTTACAGTATTGTACTTTGGAGGTAGTTTAGTGTTCTCATGACTTTTAATGTTTTGCTATTATCTGAAGGGGCAACGCATCTGCTCTATGTTATATAATATAAAATTACATTGTATAAATTCTGCAAAATGTTCACTATTTACTGCTCGCGGGTGCCCTCAAATGCTTTTCATGCATATGCAGGCTACACAACGCATCTGCTCTGTTATATAATATAAAATTACATCATATAAATTCTGCAAAATGTTCACTATTTACTGCTTGTGGGTGCCCTCAAATGCTTTTCATGCATATGCAGGCTGTTCAAAGGAGTAACTCAAGCAGTATACAAAAGCCCCAGCTGTCCCACCACAAGCGTACAGGCACCACTCTATTTAAATATTCAATACAGCAAGCAGGGTGACAGAAGGTGGGTTTGACTGTGCAAACCTTAATCTCGGTAATGCATAGTCAGCTCCTTCATTTTGTTGTTTTGAAGGGGGCGGGGGGCACAACTAATACACACGGACACACTTGCACAAACTGTAAGGTTTACATATGCATAGACTAGTGTAGTTCACCCAGTGCACACATTTTATAATTACTATCACATTTTGTTTATGTATTTACTGCAGAATTATGTTTCCGTGATCCTCAACTGTGGGAACAAACACGTATGATGGCAAAGTGGCACTGCATTGGTTAACACGGTAATACAGGGTGTGCAAAGTATGGGACTCCAATCTGTTCTTTAATTTTGCCCACTAAGCATTTTTTTTTTGCATTATTTAGCCATTTATCCTGGATTCGCTGATTTAAACTGTTTTTATTCATTTGCAATTCTTTGTATTCCTTTATCTCATAAAATAGTTGTTTGATTGTCAATTACTTGTAACTTAATTATATGTATTATACAAGTGAAAATTTCGAATTAGAAAGTTGTCAGAATAAAATATTTTCAAATACACATTTTGACTTTTATTTTAACTTCAGACACAAATTATGTCAACTTTTCATTATAAAAATCTGAAAATGACTGTACTTATTATTTTATTTTATTTTATTTTATCTAGTCCTAATTCCTACGACCAGGAGGTGACGGTAGTTCTTCATGGTTCAATGTTTACAAAGGGAGTGTGTAATCGAACGCAGAAATACCAAAGCCCGCCTCTACCTAAATATGATTGGCCGCTGGGTGACAACCTCCGAAAATACAGTTTTCCGATTGGCCAGCGGTCCTAGTTCGTCATTCTTTGACAGACGCTGGAAAGCGAACCGCTTGCTAAAAACGAAAGCTAACTGCGGAAGAAGGCAGGCAGCAGAAGGGAATATGAAAGCAAAATACTGAATTGCTTGAATTCACGATGTCCAAATTCCCTTTTATGTAAGGAATCCAGAAATTCAACTGTGTGACTCTCTACAATTATCGTGGGCAAGGCGGGCCTTTTGGCTGTCAACCACAGCAACAACACCTGAACCAGTTTCACAGCTCGACCTCGCCAATGTGCCGTTTGTTTACCTCCTCTTCGAAAGAGCGCCTCATCAAATGTAAGATACTTTTGACCTTTAATTTGATTTTGTCTTTTAATGCAATATCCCCCTTTTTCGTCTAGTTCGGTATGATGATTATCCGCAGCTGGAGGGGACGGTTTGTGCTGGAATGGAGGTGAGCTTGTGCAGTGGATATAAGCAGTCTCATCACCAAAAGCCGTTTTTTGAAAATATATGGACTCAGATGAATCATCTCAAAACGTCTTCTCCATATTAATGTGACCTTTAACCTATGCAACTTTGAATAAAATATCTATGTCTATTTTCGAGATAGGAATGAAAAATAAACACACCCTCTCATAACTGTGATGTGTTCAGAAATAACCAATTACATTCAAAGTTATGTTAATGATAGTCAACACACCTAAAACTGCCTCTGTTTAACCCCAAATAAATTTCTGATTTTCTCGTGATATTGAGTTGGCTCCAGCTCACCCGTGACCCTGATGAGGACAAACAGGATACAAACATGGACAGTTGGATGGCAATCATAACACATTATTTGGTACCCTCCTGTGGTGGTGTCACAAAAAACAAAATACACTTGGGGTTATGAGCTGAAGTCTTACGTGACTTTGCAAGGATCAGTCTAAAATGCTCAATGTAGGAAAAAGAAAGAAAAACGTCAGATGGATAGCACCAATATTTTGAATTTTTTTTTCAGTCATTCATTTAGTCAACACCAAAATTAATGTAGATATCTGTACTTATGCCCACTCCAACCTCTGAAGTTTTTAGAACAACCACTGTAATAGTTTGGATTTTATGGACATTAATCGACATAAATGTGTATTGAGCACGTTTGGAGGAGAAGATGTTTATTTCCGGTAAACTCTTGCTTGACTTTTGAGATGCAATTTCCTCTTTGGAAACTTCAGATTTTGAGTTACTACTGTCTTGGCGCATGTGCTACATACTGTTTCAAAATTAACCGATGTACCTTCTGTCATGTTGACCTCCCCCCACCGACCCCGAACGTTGTCACCTGGGCTGCAGTCAGTAGCGGCGGCTGCGACGACACAACATTGACGCTGCCCTATCACAATGGCGCACTTCGACACGGAGTACCAGCGCCTGGAGGCGTCGTACAGCGACTCCCCGCCGGGCGAGGAGAACCTGCTGATGCACGTCCCTGAGGGCGCTAAATGTAGGTGATGCATAACAAAGACAAATCGTGAAGTCCAATAACAATATACTTAATGGACCTTTTTTTTTTTTCCAGCCCAGTGGCACCACATCGAAAACCTGGACCTGTTTTTTCAGAGAATATCCTTTTGAGCTTATGGTCCTCATCTCGCTATGTTGGTCCCAGTAGAGGTCTGAGACAAAAATGTATATCCCAACACAGTAATTTTATATCTCGATAACAATGTTTGTAACAATGTATTTTATTTATTAATCTTTTTTTTTTTTTAATTTTTTCTTTTTACAAATTTACAAAAAAAAGGCTGTGATTTTTTAAAGAAAATTTTTTTTTAAGAGAGCTTTTGTTGTAAGTTAGCATCTAATGTTTTCTTTCTCTGTCCTTTGCCTTACTCATTGAGTGTCTCTCCCGCCCCAATTTGCGGCGCAAGCTTCAAATAATCTTCATGCGGGAAGCGGCAACAGCTGTGTGAACGCATATTTTGCCAAGTCATGTCGAAACGGAACAGACGAATAACTAGCGCTACTCCTCTGATCCAGTAACTTGTGAAACAGCGTGAAAGCAGCAAATAACCGGCTGGAACGAATAACAGTCTGTCTAGTTGGGACCTATTCCGATTTTCCTTAACCTATTTTTACGTCTATAATTTGCATCAGAAGAATGGATTCACGTGTATGCTTTTGGGAGAGATCTTTGAGCTGGTGTACGCCATAGCTTCTAAAATTGTTTCAAGTATATATTTTTTAATATGTACTGTTTAATTGCCTCCTATTGGATGCTGTGTCACCTGTGCAGTCAGTTGGTGTTCGTGGTGGGCTTCACCGTGTTCCTCGCCAACTGCGTGGACTACGACATCCTCTTTGCCAACAAGTTTGTCAACCACACAGATTCCTCCAAGGTCACCCTGCCTGACGCTTTCGTGCCTGTGGACGTCTGCAGCGCGCGGTAGGGCTGGCCGGTTAATCGATTCTGTCGGTTATTTAAGTTTATTTGAAAGGATGATTTAAAAAAAAAAAAAATTCGAAGTCACATGAGCCAATATATTTGCATATTGTTTTCCATTTAAAGAGATCGAAGCCTGGTGACTTTGTGCCCATTTTATGCTGCAAAAGGCGCAATTTAATGACACGTTATCAACTTTTGTACCGAGGTATGTGGTCTTGCCACACCTGATATTGTTGACCGTTTAACAACAGGAATTTACCAAGGTTTGTGTTTGCATACCTCTTGCCAAAAGAATACATTTTTCCAAAAGTTGATGGAAGCTATTGGGGGGGGGGGGGTGGCATGTCAAAGCATGTTTGTTGTCATTAGAAATAAAACAAGACAGTCTTTTGGCAAACTCGGATACATTTTACAGTAATCTTTATCAGGCCATCGTGCCTGTTCAGTTTTTTTTTTTTTTTTTTTTTTAATGCCCCCCTCCTCATCTGCAGTTGAGGAAATATGGCAAATGTCTTTAACATCCAGTCTACACCTTGGTTATTAAAATACTATTGTTGTTGTTGACAATGCTGTAAAAAAAAAAACAGCATTAGTAACACTTATCAATTGTGCCGGCAGCATTCGAGACAACGCGTTTGTCATCTTTGTGCTGATGATCTCCGGCGTGTTTTGGCTCCATCGCCTGGTGAAATTCATCTACAACGTGTGCTGCTACTGGGAGATCCGATCCTTCTACATTCATGCCCTCAAGATGACAATGGTGAGACGAGCCTGTCTTATCATTAATACCGTTGTAATAAATAAATAAATAAATAATGTAACTCGTGTTTTTATTAGTCGGAGCTGCCGTACGCAACATGGCAGGAGGTTCAGGCCAGGATAGTGGAGATCCAGAAGGAGCACCAGATCTGCATTCATAAGAAAGAGCTAACGGAGCTTGACATTTACCACCGCATCCTCCGCTTCAAAAACTACATGGTTGCTATTCTACCGTCTGCCACATTGTTATTTAATCGAATAAAGCGCCATGTGAGCTCAGACCATTTTGCTGTCTCGTCTGCAGGTTGCTATGGTGAATAAATCTCTGCTTCCTGTGCGCTTTCGACTTCCTCTACTTGGAGATGTTGTGTTCTTCACACGGGGCCTCAAGTACAACTTTGAGCTCATCTTCTTTTGGGGGCCAGGTTTGTATCTTCACCGAACTTGTTTAGATATTTTTTTCATGTTGTCATGACGGGGTCTTGTGTGTTAAATTGTGAGGAAAAAATAATTCAATCTCCATTGTATTAAGGCTGTAACATGACAAAATGTGGAAAAAGTAAATCGGTGTGTACACGTTATTTGTTGTACAGTAAATAGATAATTTTTCAACCCAAAAAGTGACTTTTAAAAAGTTGCATCGACCTGTATCCAAATGAGCCCAAACAGTATCATTTGCTGAATTTCTGCCTTGTTTTCCTCCTTCAGGCTCTCTCTTTGAAAACGAGTGGAGCCTGAAGCCTGAGTATAAAAGAGGCGGGAACCGTCTGGAGCTGGCCGACAGACTGGCGTCACGGATCCTGTGGATCGGCGTCGCCAACCTCCTCTTGTGTCCCGTCATCCTCGTGTGGCAGATTCTCTATGCGTTCTTTAGCTATACGGAGGTACGGATTTTCACAGACTCATTCAAACTCGAGATTTCGATCAAGCGTGACGATGTATGTGTTTGTACGTCAAGGTGATCAAGCGAGAGCCCGGTTCTCTCGGTGCACGATGCTGGTCTCTGTACGGCCGATGCTACCTGCGCCACTTCAACGAGTTGGACCACGAGCTCATGTCCAGGCTTAGCAAAGGCTACAAGGTGAGTGGGGTGTCTTGGCCGACGCAGTATGTTTGTTCCAAGCAAGAATGACAAAAACTCATGATACTTAGAGGTGGGTTTTACAATTTGTCGCCATCTTGAGGCATCTAAAGTCAATTACTAACCGCAGCAAGGCTGTCCCTGTCTCTAGCAAATAGATTTTAACCTTGAGTTAGCGCGGCAGTTTGACAGACATTGTGATTTTATTCATACATATTATCGTGCTTGTATTCTTTTATTTATTTTTCTACAAATTACAACAGCTCCCAGGTGTCTTAATAAGACGCTTTTTCCGCCCCAAAACAAAACAATCAAAACACTTCACACCTCTATTTTGACCCTTGCTGAATAAAATTATGATGGAGTGGTCCAGTCTCATGCAAACGAACCACCGCTCACTGCGTGTGTGTTTGAGAAAAAGTGAGCGTCCATAAAAGCATGGACTCTATTTTCATTCCTTGGGGCAGCACTTCATCATCAATGTTACCTTTCGATGTATAACGTTCACTTCTACCTCTTGTTCCTATTTTACATGCAGGCCGCCTCCAAGTACATGAACTGTTTTCTCTCACCTCTGCTGACTGTGGTGGCCAAGAATGTCGCTTTTTTTGCCGGCTCCCTCCTGGCTGTGCTGATCGCGTTGACCATCTACGACGAGGACGTGCTCGCAGTGGAGCACGTTCTGTCGTCGATCACGCTGCTGGGAGTGTGCATCACAGTGTGCAGGTCGGGACTGTGTTCCATTTGGCGGCAAAGTTATCTTCAATTTAATCTCATTGTAAAAATTGGAATTGCCGGTATATGGGATTCCGTTTCGTCCGCAGGTCCTTTATCCCTGATAAGCACATGGTGTTTTGTCCCAAGCAGCTCTTGCGAGTCATCCTGGCTCATATTCATTACATGCCTGACCACTGGCAGGGCAATGCACACAGATATGAGACAAGGGACCAGTTCTCACAGGTCTTCCAGTACAAAGCCGTAAGTATGAAAGACAAATCCGGATGAAATCGCAACATTTATACCCGGGGTGGGCAAACTTTTTCCTTTAAAAACATAATAAAGACAAGTTAACTAAGGGCAAAACTGTCTGAAGCTGCTGAGCCCAGTCGTGACTCCCATCATCCTCATCTTCTGCCTGAGGAGGAAGTCGCTGGAGATCATTGACTTCTTCCGAAATTTCACCGTGGAGGTCGTGGGTGTGGGAGACACTTGCTCCTTTGCGCAGATGGACATCAGGCAACACGGGCACCCTGCGGTAAGGATCTTTGACTTTATTTCTGGTAAATTCATGTTTTTTTTCTTGTTTTGCAAAAAGTTTGAATTGTGCAATTATGCTGTTAAGACGAACGACTAGTATTATTTTCTTCCCGTTGTTATATTATTATATTTGTGGAGCTGGATAAGCCTATATGGGGTATATGAAATATATTGATCTGACCGTGACTATCTTACTATATCATGGATTGTTAAATAATACGTAACCAAATTTATATTGCAAGTGTTTTTCTTTTGTTTGTTTTTGTTTGTTTTTTTGGTGGCTGTTTTCCAGTAATCATCCGCACGAACTAATGTTACTGAAGACTCACTTAGCAATAAGATGGGTTCCAGAAAAGTAAGCACATACAACCATGAGTAGGCAGGGGTTGTTCCCCCCGAAATATCCCGTTGAATAAACTTGGAATTCATCAATAAAAAATCAATTAATCGCCCAGCTTTATAGTTGCCAGTGAGTAAAAATCTTTCTCTGCCTCCACAGTGGATGTCCGAAGGAAAGACCGAGGCGTCCATCTACCAGCAAGCAGAAGACGGGAAGACGGAGTTGTCCCTGATGCACTTTGCCATCACCAACCCACAGTGGCAGCCCCCACGCGAGACCACGCACTTCATCAGCCAGCTGAAGGAAAGAGTTCAGCGGGAGGCCACCGGCGCTCCTTCGGATGCTCATCCGCTCTCGCTCTCTGAATCCGAAGTACGTGACCACACTTCAGCATCGCTCTGTTGACAATACCTTCGCTGATTTTATCTTGTTTTTTTTTTTTTTTTTTTTTTTTAGCCGAGGAGCCTGATTGCCAATCTTTTGGTGGCGCCGTCCACTCTGGCCTCCGTTCATTTTGGCCGGGATGGTTCATCGAGCGGTCACGCGGTGGTGGCCAGTGATGCGGTGGCAGCCTTGCGCTCACTTTCCCCGATCAGCAGCAGTCTTCCCCTGAGGGGCAGCTTTAGTGCTGCTTACAGAACCGCCGGCCACGCCTCCACCATGAACAGAACCATGGCAGGGTCTGGGTATGAGATATCACTCACAATATTACGGCAAATAACGTATTCGCCATTCGGCAATTGTAAATTCACCAATTGGTAGATTTATTTTTTTTTAATCTTTTGACCACGTTGTGCACATTTTTTTTGTTGCGTCAGTTTAAATCCTTCCATCAGGAGTGACTTGAACATATATGAAGCCCAGAAAAGTTAAAATATTCAGTTAGATTGTATACTGCAAAAAACTTCTCATGCAAAAGAAAAAGTAACTAGACAGAATATTTTCTTCAAGGCTTAAATAATACAACAAAAAGAGGATTTATCAGAAATCATTGAAACGTAATAATATCATGAATATACAGGGCCAGTTTTGGCAGGGCTACGAAAACCTGGCTCATGTTAAACTGACGGGGCCACCACCCCAAAAAGGCAAAATGAAATACCCTTTCACTGCTGAAAGTCAGATCGGAATCCATCAGCACACCAACTTGGTCTTGGCTTTTAAAAAGTAAATGCGTGCATTTTGTAATAGCACTCCTCTTTTTTTTACTGCCAGAATCACTTACCTCACTTTGTTGTTTTAATTGTAAGGAAATTTTGGTTCATCCAAAATCCGATGTAAATTGGTTGCTTGGAAAACGAGATGCTTAAAACACGTGATGAGCTACTAGTCGAGCTTAATAAATTTTGAACAACTGAATAATACTTTATAAAGAGCGTACTCCTTAGATGTTACATGATTAAGGCCAGTAGTCAGTCACCAAATTTGTCATTTTGCCTTATTAAACCTTGTACACCGTCTTTCTTCCCAAAAGAACGGATGCCCGAACCCTGAGTTCCGGCAGCAGTGCATGGGAGGCTCAACTCACCAGTTTAGTCTTGTCAGAGTATGCCTCCACGGAGATGAGTATCCATGCTCTTTACATACATGAGGTAAGTGGAGATGTCCTTGAACCTGCCCATTTTTCTTGAACACCCATTTGTGTCCACCTCCTATCGATGTTTTCATATTGGCACATTTTTCAAACCATAACAAGCCAGCCTGCTTGTTAACGTCAGCTTGATCCTGCACCATCCATTACACCATTGGAACACGCTCCTTCATTTGCCAGCCGGAAGTAGATGTTAAGTCCTTTTCCAAACGTCTGCTCTTTTCGCTCAGTTGCACAAACAGCAGTCCCGCTGCGATGCGCTCTCCCGCCACACGTGGCACAGGCAGGAGAGCGACGAGAGCAGCGACAGCATCCCCGATGAGGTGAAGAGCGTGTCCGGCTCCCGCTACAAGCACTTCCCCCGCTCGCACACCTTTCCTACCACGGTGCCCAGTCCCACTGCCATCCCCTCTTCAGCTTCCGAAGGCGCCGCCGCCCCAGAGACGATGTCGTCACGACAGGGTGACGGCAACCAGCGCCCACACAGCGGTAACTAACATGACACTGAGGAGGACAAGGTCGGGCAACATGCGGGCCGGGAGAGCATACAAATATAATGTGCGAATGTAACACAGAAATGTTCATTGTCCGGTGAACACAAAAAGCAAAAATCTGCCCGTAGTTGATTAAAAAAAATGTACCAGTAATAATAATACTTGATGGGGGGGGGGGGAAAACAGAATAATTTACTGAAATATTATAAAATGTAATCTACCCCCCTCCCCCAGATACTTTCTGTACAGGAGGGAAGGTGACGAGGTCCGCACGTGTGCCGATGGGTGGCTGGGCAGAAGAGTCGCACCAATCAGCACCACGCCGCCCCGAGTCACTACCGGAGGAGAGCTCTGAGGACGAGATGCCACCGCACGTACACAAGGTAGCTTTGAAAAACTGAAGTCGGGGGTGGGCTACATTAAAATCTTTTTTTAAAAACTAATTACCGGTAATTGTATTGTAATTTAATCTGAATACTGTAAATAAACAGAAATAAACTGACGTCTCTGTTGCTTTTCTTTTCAGGTTTGTTGACTACATCAGATCACCCAATGAATTTCTTCCCTTCAAAGAGACTTCAAAACACCACCTTTCTCTTTGGACCTTTTTCCTGGACTGATGCAAAGAATAATGTATTAGAATGGAACCTGAATTGATTTTTGGGTTTTACATTGGTCATTAGAATGATCATGGGGGCCTGAATAACTGAATAATAATGTTCCTGTGATTGAAATGTTTGTTTTTGAGACACGAAAGGCAAATTATGTTCTTTTAAAGAATGACTACACACTACTCACAAAGAGTTGAGATTCATCTTTCAGATATGATTTCAGGATGAACCCAAAATGCACTATAACCTCTACAAACGAACTTAATTTGACTTTTATGCACGTGCCCAACTGTTGAGTGTTTCAGTGATTTTTCAACTCTCTGTTGCCGGACAAGGAACAATTCACAACAAGTTGTTTGACCCATGAATGGACCCATACGTTTCGTGGTTCAATGAGAATTGGTTTTTAAATTGGCCTCTTTGTTATTGCTGTTCACAATATGACGTTATGAGACCACCGCGACGCCTGACAGTGAATTTTTTTTTTTTGAGTATGGACATGTATGTACAGTATACCATTACAATGTGCGCCGACTCGAGCTTGCAGATTGAGCACGAATCAACACCATGCACACTTTGCATTACCAAGTTCTGTGCTTATTTAAAAAAATAAAGGGATGAGTTATGCGCACTTGCAATGAAAAAAAAAACAGATTTAGGTTTTTGCAGCAACCGTCTTGAACGTTACAAAAATACTGAAGTGAAGCCTCCTCGCCCATTAACGCTAGACCAGAGAAGAGCTGTTATTCCATCATAGTAAAAGCGCCATGACTCGAAATGTGATCGATTCACAATTCTTGATGCACTTTAATAACTTGGTGTAGCTTCACTTAGGTTATTTGCATGTGTCGCCTGAACGTTTACGTTTTTAAGGGTTTTGTTAAATTATGATTCACGAAAGGGATGTGCCATAAAGTTGATTGTAAATCGAGTGAAATGCTGATGGTTAAAGTGTATAGACCTTTTTGTTGTTGTTCATAGATATTGTAAAACACAGATTTGTACAGAAGTAAATTCAGCCATTAAAATTACGTAATCGAATCAATTTGTCTTGTCTTTTCTGCAAGGAAACGATATTATTCCGCTTTTGGATCCGCGCCTGTTCGAGGATGCCTTATTAATCTATATCCGAACACTACTTCCAGAGCCCGGATAGCTCAGTCGGTAGAGCATCAGACTTTTAATCTGAGGGTCCAGGGTTCAAGTCCCTGTTCGGGCGTCGCTCTTTTCTTGCACACACATTCAGGAAAATACAGATTGACTGAGGTTCATTTCGCGTTTAGTTTTTTTTTTTTTTCGCGTTTAGTCAACTGTATTTACGTTGATAAAGTGACGTAAAATGTCGTCATGATTTGACTTGGTTTAGCACCTCCAAAATATTACGCTAACAGAAAGTAAACTTTCTTGGCTATGCTATTTATATTTGTTCGATATACTGGAATGAAATTTATTAGACGTGTAATATTTGCTTTACTGTTTACTGTTATCCCACAAAACGGTGCTTCTCCATAGTGAAACAGCTGCAGGGGTTGACGACGAAGATGAGAATGAGGACCTGCATCATAAAACAAATGGCCAGAGTCTTAGGTACAAATGCGCAGTTTAATAAATTAAGTCCGTAATACATTCAACGCATACTGTGCTACACTAAACGACTGTACTTCTACCAACGCGAAACTGGCCACGTTGTCGTGGTACAGTTCCATTGTCCTGTCTTGATTGGCTCTCGGGGAAAAATTGTCCATGCTTGCAACAACAGGACGCGATTTGATTGGTCATGAAGTTTTGACATAAAAGAGGTGAACCCATGAGGGGGCGTTTCCCTTTTTGTTTGTGCCTCATTTACTCGCAATACCATTGGTTGAAGACATGGAACGCGAAGATTTTGATTGGTTCTTTCGTTCAGACAACCCGAATTTAGTTGGCGGCCATATTGAATAGTTTTTGACAGTTTTGCATCTCAAGGAAGATTGAAGATTTCTAAATGTCAACTTATGTTCGTAAGGAATAAAAGCTGTGCTTTCCAATCGGCTCGGGACGCTTGTCCTGCATTTTAATGCTTTCGTCTTAACCAGGAGATGGACGAAGATGAACGACAGAGGAAACTAGAGGCTGGGAGAGCGAAGGTTAGTGACTGGGCTAACAGTGCGCGCACGCTAATGTTGGTATGCTAGCAGGCTAGCCTACTCTTTTGTCATCGATTTATGTTGTTCACTACTGGGCTACGCTCAATTCACACCACTTTTCCAACTGTTCAGGACTATGTCTCACCTTTTCATGGTCACTTGTGAGAAGCACTGATGGAATTGTGACGTAAGTCATTTGGCGCGCTTAAAACGCGGGTTAGTTGCACCATTCATGATGACAATAATATCGCTGGGGGTCAAGTTTTGAAATCGACACTGTAGTTTTGCACCCAGACAGTAAAAAAAACAAAAAAAGTCGCTTACGACTCAAAAACGCTACTGTTTTTGTTGCACTTTTTGAATACAGAAAAATGTCACTTTATTAATATATTCGCCGGAAATGTAGCGAAGTAAACTGGTTTCACAAAGCTTATTTACTGTACTTTCGGAGAAATTGGTCGTCACAAGTCTTTAAAGGGGAAGACACCCCAGTTTGTTCTGTGCAAGAAAGGGCTGTGTATGCCATCATTAGAAAAACACGGTACTCTGATGTTAATACTCCATTCGTGGAATAAGAAACAATAATTGGAGGGATTCGTCAATCCCTCCAGGAGGCGGCCATGTTGGGACCGATGGGACAAAGTGACGTCGGAACCAGAGTAGCGCTTTTGCCGGCAATGGCAGCAGTTGAGTAAGCCTGGTTTGTCAAAATCGGACAGGAACGAACTACAACTGCGCCAGGCTGTCGGCATCAAATGGAATTGTGCAGATTTATTGGTAATCATATCCTGGTGACTGCAAATGCAGTCAACATGGACACTGGGCAAACATGGTTCTGGGTGGCATTAATGTGGTTTTAAAATTGGTTACTTATAGTTTGAGGCAGAACTTTTTTTTTTGTGTGAAATTTTTGTGGTTGACTTAGACGGTTTTTTCCTTACTAGCCGTAAAAGTAAACAAGCAACTGCTGTTCTCCAACAGCTGATAGTTTGTCCATTGGCGAGCAACACACTACAGAAACAATTGTTCACATTTTCTTGTCCCATTTCTTGTAATCTTTAGCACTGACTGGCAGTCTTCTTCACATCTCCTCCGGGATGCACTTGTCTTCACATAATCAAAAAACAAACATAAAACATTGAAGTTAGACTTAATAACCCTGGTCAACAAAAATTATTTCAATTCAGATTGTTGTTGTTTGGTGACACAACACTAGATAAGCCTTATTCTACCAGCTCCATGTTTCATCGTCCGTCCCTGATATTCTCTATGCAGAAGTCATCAAACATGCCACGGAAGCAGTCGGTAAGTAAGGATAGAGGTGTTTTAACTTTATTCTTTTGGATTCAAAACTCTTGCGTGTGGTCAATCAGGGTGTTTTGCCTTTCTCCGCTCAAACATTTCACTGCTGCGCTTGTGCAAGGAGGTGTGGTAAATCTCATGAATGGTGTTGCTATGGTAATTTGGTGCTGTCGCTTTAATTTGCAGTTTTGGTGCGCCCGCTCACCCCCACCCCCCAAATAAAAATCCATATTCAGTGTATTCTTGTCAGGCGTCTCAGGCACAGGTTTTGATGATGACAAAATTGTAATATTGCGCTCAACATTTTTCTTTGACTGCGGTTTAGTCACATGCAAGCGGCCTTGGGCTCGGCTCGGCGCTTCTAATATGCCAGTCACGGGATTATTTGTGCTGTGTTCAAGCAGAGGCCATGAACATGATTATTTAAAAAGCTACCCCAACAGTCACTGATGATCCTAATGAATCCTTTATTCGAAAACAGAAAAAAAAAAATCACGATGTACTATCACAACAGTCGCACGTTGATGACTGAGCGAACTAAATTTCCCGCAACACTGATTGGACAAGCGATGTAATGTGATCATCTGCAGCGGGCGTATCATAATTGACATATTGAGTCGGGTCTGTCTTAACCTCCAAGGCAGAGGCTCCGTCGAACCCCTGAGACCGATTCACTGAACCCCGAGGGTTCGATGGAACCCAGGTTGAGAACCACTGATATATATCAACAAATAAGTTAATTCAAAAGTAGAATATAGCTCCCAAGATTATTGAGGGTCTGGCTAATTAATTAACCTTCCTGTTGCTCGGCCTGTACAAAGCATAAAGGCAGTCGTAACAAGCCGGTTTACCCAACACGCGCATGCGTGTGACTCCACACACAGAGCAACAAGTAGTTCTCCCAAGGCCATGTCATCTTGAATCGAATTGAACGCTCCGTCGCACACACACACGCACGCACGCCTCGTGCTTTGTCTCCTCCTCTCCGTATGATGAGTCCCGATGCTCCTCCCTGTTTTCCTCTGTCTAGACTCATACCAGACCCTTCTTCCGAGTTTGCGTGTCCCTCGGCTCCGTGCAATGCTTACATGATGATGAGAAGTGAATCAGTGACGGGAGAAATTGCCACCGGCATCTACAAAATGGTGGTCACATGTCGATGGAGGGGCTTCAGGAGGGTCTCTCACAATGTGAACGAGTGGTCTGATTTAAGCCGCTTAAAAATGGGAGCGCGTGAAATAGGAAGAAGGAGAAGCATCATGAAGTGGATTGTAAATGTTTCAGAATGAGCTAGCTCAAATTTTGCATGAGTGACCTCTTCTAAGCTGAAGTTTGGGATTTCTTCCACTTTTTATTGTACCGCATTGATTCACCAGAATGATGATGATCAACGGCACAGACTTTTTGCGACTCTTCACTTTTTCTGTCCCTTTGCTTTTCTGAGCTGTTAAAAAAAAAAAAAAAAAAAGTCCGCCATGCTGCTTGTGTGGTGGTGCTCGGCGGTGCTGACCTACGTGTCCGTCTACCTCTCGCTCTCCTTCCTGCGCAGCTTGCTAGCTTCCGACAGAAGCGGGCGAAGAGCCGCGGTGCGGGGGAGGCGAAAAAGGCGGCGAAGAGGACGGGCCCGGCTGTCGCGCAGGATGACGGTGCGGCGCAAGACTCCCACATAGTGCCGCCGCCGAATCACAATGAGCTGGATGGGAACTCCATACATGAGGTACTGTAAATAGTTAATCGCCTCCACCTGCAGTATCTTCTCAACGATTCAAACTAATGACATTACAAAAGCCCAATTTTAGCAACCCCACATTGGCTCCCATAACAGCATCTTTTTTTGTAACATTTTAGTTTTTTATTTTTAGTTTTTTTCCAGGGAGAAGAAAAGCGTCACCTCTGTATTGTATGAATAAAAACATACAGGAATAAATAGGACATGCCCGATTAATTGGCCGACCACTTTAGTCGCCCAATATTAACTTTTTTAAAATCAGCCAACCCCCCCCCCCCATAGTTTTTCTTTTCGTGGCTATAAAAAAGAAATTAGGTTCAATTCATGTTAAGAAAAAAGTAAATGTGAGCACAAAACACATTGCTGCAAGGTAACCACACGAACTGACTGTGGCCAGAAGTTGTGAAATTAACGAAACAATATAGTGGCGGAATATCTGCAGCTCGCTCGTAGCTCAAGTTTTTGCTCGAGACACAAGGTGGAAAAAAAAAGATCAAGTATCGTCATGTAAAAAACTCATAAGCTAAGCTACCTCTATACTAGTGTCTGGCTCTGCGCTACCAAAGCACATCAACCCTCCCAATGTGATGGTGCTTTCTATCATCTTCTTGGTGTCAATGCTTCTTGTTTATTGGATACTTGTGATTATATCTCATTTGGGTTATTTTTGATCGAGACAAAGGCAAAAACCGACAACTTCTGTATGGCAGCCTGATATGTGCCTCGTTGTGCTAATAGCAATAAGCTAATTTGCCGGGCGAGTCCCATTTTTCAAAGCGCTTTTCAACCATGTGTTTTCCAAGGGGCTACCTCAATCGTTATTCTTATTATTATGTATGAAACACTGCTAGTTTTATTTATTTTTAAACAATCCTCAATTGTATGATTCCAATTTTCCTTTGTGGTGGGTGGTGACATAATGGTTGAAACGTCTTGGGATGTGCAGTGTCACCATGGTTTGCATCCTCATTGCTTGCTTTCGTGAGTAACCCCGCAACCCTCCTCTCTCTCTGTAAACATACATTACAGAAATGGGTCACTAACCATCATGTTGCCTGCGAGCTGTGTTGTCATGGCAACCTGGTCCGGATTAACTGACATTTGCAGCCTTTTTCTTTTTTTTAATAAACACAACAAACCAGTGTGTGTTGTGTGCATTTAGAAATATATATATTTTTTCCTCGAAAATATACAAAACAATGACAAAACCTATTGAATCTCTACGTCTGTCTCCGTAGGATGCATTTAACCCCAAAAATGTGGAGGTTCAACGACAGAAGGATGAGTTTCTCAGCACGGAGGCGAGCATTTCCCCTGTGGGTGAACTTAGGGATGAGGAGCTGCTTGCACTAACCAGTCAAGAACAGTTGCAGGTACACAACATCATTGCACTGTCTTGGCCACACGGGGTGTCTGTCTTTGGATGAAAAATAACTTACATTTTCAATATAACACATGTAATTGAGCCGTCAATGTGGATGACTGCTGGTCTATATGTCTGGGGTCAAATACTGTACCACAGCCAACTCATGGTCAATTTATACAGATGAGCCAAGGCGGCATCTGGCTTGGAAGCACATACCTCGGGTCGAAAGCTACCAACATGGTGACAAACCACTAATTTTTACAATGTAAAATGGGCACCTTGTCTTTGGAACTGTTCAGCACGAGTGAACCATGATTGCCTTCCACCGAACTCTTTGCTTTTCCTGCAAAAAAAGATTTTATTCCAATTGTCTTTTTCTTAACAAGAATTGGTCTTGTTTAAACGTAAATCATGAAGCCAAACATTTCCCCCCTCCCCCCAATCGTTGCAGCAGTTAAAGCAGGCCGTGGAGAAGCGTAATGAAATCATCGCCAAGCTCAGCTCCAAACTGCAGGAGGCCCAAGCTAGTCGAGACGAGGTCCAGCTGGAAGTGCAGTCCCTCGCCGGCAAGGTCCAGGCCTTACAGAAACAGCTCCAACAGGTATACTCAATGCACAATTTCTGCCCAAATGACCAGGAATTTTACTGCGCTGGTTCCATAGACGTGACATCTATTGCGATACATATTGATATTGAATTATCGCCCAAGCCTAACGAACGCCACATATCTCAAAGCCTGTAAATTGGGGCATGCTTAAGTCCAGTCATTGGAAATCAATTTGTGTCTGGAAACTAAACTTGAATCTGTCAACGTTCTGTGACGCAGACGAGTGTGGGCTTTCAACGCCTTAAAAATCAGCCAGGCGCAGACCTCGGTGACATCACTAAGAAGCAGCAGCTGCACAACTCTCAGAATGAGGACCTCAGCATGGAAGATACGTCAACAGAGCAGTCGGGAAGCGCTGACCTCGGCTCCCGAACCAGCGCCGAGGGATTCAGCACTGACACCGACACCGAGACGGACGCCACTCTGTCCGAGCTGAGGGCGAAGCTACAAGAGGAGAAGGACAAATGCCTGCGCCTGTGTTTTGAACTGGAGAGAGAGAAGGAGAATCACCAACATGTGCTTTCGTTAATGGAGGTCGAAAGAAAGGACCTGCAAACCCAGCTGAGCCAAGTCCGGAGTCACTGCCTAGAGGAAAAGGAGGTCCTCGACGGAGAGTTGCTGCAGCTGAGGAAGAAGCTTCAGGAGGAGGAAGAGTCACAGAGGAGATGGTGCGAAGCGGAAGCGGCATTCACCCGCCGTCTCCAAAACTTGGAGGATGAGCGACTAAGACAGCAGGAGGCTGTAACGAAGTTGAAAGAGGAGCACAGAGAAGAGCTGGAGAGAGTCAACCGGCTGTTGGAGGAGAGCACAAAAGAAGTCATGGGATTGAAAGCTTCCAAGAACCTCCAGAATCAGGACAAAGCTGGTTTTAGTTTTGCTGAGATCACCAGCGCCGACAAAAGCAGTGGTGAATCGGGACCTGACCACGACGCCATGAATGTATCGTTATCTAGGAACCATCTAATGGAGCGCTACTTTGCACAATCTTCACTCGTTCACGTCACGCCTTGCAGTCAGCTGGACATCGCTTCAGACCAAAGGTTTGGCCTCTCTTCCTAATTTTTTTTTTTTTTTTTTTTTTTACCCTCTGGGCTAGATGCTGTTGTGTCCACCTCACTACTTTTTTTTTCCATAAATGTAAATGTAGTGAAAGTTACACATGGTGGGTAATTCTATCCATTTTCCTCATTTCTAATCTCGGCTCTTTAAATATATTAACATTTTACTGTTCACGTCAAAATTTTCATTTTGGTTCCTTTTGGCCAGTTGAAATTCATGAAAATTACCCACACAAAACGAACATGGCAAGCCGGATCTGCCCTGTGGTCCTCAAGTTTGACACCGACGCCGTAATTGCCCTTTGCCTTTCTTCTTACAGCTTTGAATTGAACAGCGACGTCTTCTGCGACCAGCCTCTGCTGTCCATCTCCAACTGTCCCCCCAAAGAGGACTCGGACGTCCACGACAAGCCCCCTGGCCTTTGCGCTGCCGGTAGTTCAAATGCCCTGTGGCTTAACGACTCAGTTTTTGAACCAGTGGGGACGAGCGGCGTTTCCGAGCAGCTATTCAGAGGGACAGACCTCACCAAAGAGCTGCTGAATCAACAGTGCGGGGAACTGCGTCAGGAGCTTTCTATGAAGGACCATGACTTAAATGTGTTGCGAGAGGAAGTCTGCAAGACCACCGAAGAGCTGGAAGAGGCTAGGAGCAGGTAAGACTGAAAACTGAAAAGTGTTGTAGATGTTAGAGACTTAAGTTACCCATTTTTTTTTTGGACTTGGCTTCCTAGAACTCATGTTTAAACCAGTTTTTCTCTTTTACGCCATCTTTGTCCAGGTGGGCTCAAGTTACAGAGGAGCTCATGGAAGCCAACAGGCAGCTCGAAGAGGAGAAGGAGTGGAGGAGATGCGCTGAGGAGGAGATGAACTTGAAAAGCCTCAAACAAGATGGCCTTAAGAACAAAACAGCTGCCTTACTCGAGGAAAAAGCTGCGGTAAACTCAGCTGAAACTTCCCTACTGGTCACTTCAATAGGGGAGAATGAGACTCCTAACCTGTCTTATCAAAACCAACAGGAGATGCTGGAAGTGTCTTTACCGGAGATTAGCCAGATTGATGATGATACTTTACATGCTGACAACTGTCTCCAAACACTGCAGGTACATTCATAAAAAGACGAGAAATATAATTCAGTATCACCTCTCATACATAGCTTATGGAATGTGTCCCATAGAGACTACTAAAATGCTTTCATAAACACTAATAATGTAATTAAACTGTTATGTGTGTATGTCTCCTTGCATATTATTTCTTTCTTGTATCCACTATTATTGCTGAAATAAGGCAAATCTCTCTCTCTCTTTCTCTCCCTCCCTATACTCCAAGGCAAATTACAAAGAACTCATGTCAGAGCTGGAAGAGACGAAAAGAAGGTATCAATCCACATCTGTCCTGCTGGACGAGAAGACTATGGCGATTGGCCAAACGGCGGAGGAGCTCCAAAGCACACGTGCCCAACTACTTGGCGTCCAGGCGGAGCTAAAAAGCCTGCAGGTAGAACTGGAGAAGAAGTGTAGCAGCTTGCAAAGTGCTGAGAAGCGGAGGAGTGAACTGGAAGCTGAAATCGTCAACCTGGAGGAGGCCCAAGCTCTGGCAAACCAGGAGAAAGATAAATACTGGAGCAAAGAAGAGGAGCTGAGCGGACAGATGATGAAGATGGAACAGGTTCTCAGGGAGGAGCTTGAACACTTTGAGAACTTGCTGCAAGCCAAGGATGCAGAGGTGAGACATAACACAAATCACAAAAAAGTTAGTGTTTGTGGCAGATGCCATTTTCACTTCAGATGAACTGAGCTTCAGCACTTTGTTTTTCATCTACAGTTGGCTGAAGAGAGAGAGAAATGGGAAGATGAGAGACAAGAGAAGAACAAAGAAGTTCAAGATGTGAGAGAGATCCTTGAGGAGCTGAGGAAGGAGCGGGAGGAGGAAGTGAAGGCCTTGATGGAGAGGCAGGTCTTGGCTGTGGAGGAGGCTACGGAGAGGCTCCGGTCGTGCCACCAGCAAGAGACGGCAGACCTCCTGGATCAGCATCAACAAGAGGTGGGTACCGTGGAACTCCTCATCTTATACAACTGCATGATGTCATCGTTGTTGAAAAATACAGTGACATTTTTTTCTGGTTTGTAATGTTTAAAAAATGTGCGTGGTGAAAACCGTTACTGTGAGCTGTCGTTATTTCCCCATCTGTATGAACGTGAAGGTGTCAGAGTTGAACAGCCGCATGGAAACGGAGCTGCTGGCGCAAAAAGCAGCCATGGAGCAGGAGCAGAAACGACAGATCAGCCTCATTAAACAGGTATTGAAGATGGTGTAATGCCGCAGTATGGCCGTTTGTTAATTCTGACTCCTGAGCAGAATCCTGAAATTTTTTTTGTTGCATTTATTTATTTTAGATTTTTTTTGGGGGGGAGTGGTGGGTGAAAATTGGTTAATTGGAGTTGTATTCATTTCTTATTAAATGATTGGGTCATGTATTGTAATCAACAAAATGAAAACAATAAAATAGTATTATTTACACATCCAACATAAAATCTGTTTTTAAATTACTGGTTAATTAATTATAATTTAACTATGTAATTATCAAATTGAAATCAAACATGCAAACTCCACACAGAAAGGCCTGGGCCCCGAATCAAACACATGCTCTCTGCACTGTGAGGCGGACGTGCTAACAGTCGACCACCTTGCCGCCACTTAACATTTTCCCATTAATTACTATTAAATAATTGCTTATAATTCAATGAACTATATTCACCTTTTAAATTGTATTTTATTATAATTACCAAATTTTAAAATGGGACCCTTAGTCATAACCATTATGTTGTCTTGGCCGCACATGTGGCAATATCAGTCCTTTGGAAATGCCCAGCTCTGTTTGAAGTGATCATTTTTAAGAGTCTCCTGTTGTTCGTGAACGTTTCCTCCTGCAGGTAACTGAACGACAGCATGAGCGGACGGTGTCGGAGCTGAAGGAGAAGCACGACGAGGAGCTCAGTTGGCTGAAGACGCAAGTCTCCATGGAGGTGACGGAGAGTCTGGAGGCTGCACACCAGGTTGAAATGGAACAGGCACGGGTACAGAAATGAAACGTCAACCTTGCAATGAGCTTGAAGCCTAGTATTTGGACCAAATTTGAGAGAAAGTGGTTGCCGACACCTTATTGCTGCCTTCTCCTCTGAAGGCCAAGCAAAGCCGTGAACTGGAAACCTTGCGCCTGAGCCTGATGCACCTCCACTCATCCCAGCTTGAGGTTTCCCAGGAGACCGCCCTCGCAAAAGTTCAGGCCTCCCTGCGGGATCAGCATCACTTGGAACTGGAGCACATCAAAGAGGAGAATGAGGCACAACGGCACCGACTCCGTGAGTTGCATCAACGTGACATGGGTGAGTGACTGAGTGTAGGCGGCTTCAGTTATTCCTTTTTAAAAAAACAAACGTCTTGTATCAAAAGTGTTTCTTTTTGTTTTGTTTTTGTTTCTTTGTTCAGAAGAGTTGAAGCTGAAGTTTGCGGATGAGAAAGGTTCCATGGAGGAGAGGCAGACGAAAGAGATAAATGTCAGGCTTTTCAAAAGACTTGATTGAATGTGTTTTCATATTAATGCAATTAGATCATTTTGTTTTCTGTTCTTTTTTTGCAGGTTCTACGGTCAGAGTGGGCAAGCGAAGCTGAAAGGACCCAGTCGAGACTCCAGCAAAGCCTTGCCAACACTCAGACAGAACTTGCCAAAACACAGGCCTCCCTTGCCCAGACCAGCCAAGCTTTAACCGAAGCCAAGGAGTCCTTGTGCCACACTCGGACGGAGCTGCAGAAGTCAAAAGGACGCCTGGAGACTTTAGAGCTCTCCAGTCAGGAGGAAAAGCAGAAACGGGAAGAGGAACTAAAGCCGTCCTGTGCTGACAAGACTGTTGCTGCCTGTAAGTTCTGTGCCTTTCATTGCACGCTCCCAAAAGATTTAGACCGGAAAGTTTTCCCAATTTATATTTTCCACTTTTGGTTATGTTGCAGCCTTATTCCAAAATGGATTCAACACATGTGGTGCACACAATTTTGAGGGGAAAATAAAATAATTGATTCAAATTTGGAATAAACCTGTAACAAAATGTGCTGTGAATACTTTCTAAATATTTGAACTTAAGTATTTTTTTTCAAAATGGCATTCAGGTTCTCTGGAGGAGTCGATGTCTGGCCACGATGTGCTGCTTCAGGAGAGAGAGCAGCAAGTCCGCCAACTAGTGGAGAAGCAGAGGCAGCTGCAGGAAGAGGTGACTAAAGCCGGTTACTGTACACATGTACTGACAGTCAAGTCAAATTTGAGTATTTTTCCTTTATTTCCATCAAAGTCTCACATTATGCTTCGCAATTATCCTCTAATGTGGGATTTTCTCCCTCTAATCTACTTGAAATTTGTTTCGGCTGTGGCCACCACGTACACTCAACAAAATTATAAACACAATACTTTTGTTTTTGCTCTCTTTTCTTATCAGCTAAACTCTGACATTTTCTGTTCACGCGAAAGGACAAGTTCTCTCAAATATTTCTCACACGCGTCTTAACCTGTGAGAGTGAGCACTTTTCCTTTGCCGAGATATTAAACATAGCGTGTAAGACCATATGGTTGTTGCACAGGTGTGCCTTAGACTGGCCACAATGAAAGGCCACTCAAAATTGTGCTCTCATGCTTTGGCTCTGTCAAGCAGGTGTCACGGCTGCAGGAGGAGAAAGATCTGATGAAGAAGAGCTCACAAGAAGAATTAGGTCAGCTGGATAGCATGAGAGCAAGCCGTCAAGAGCTAGGAGGTGAGATTTATTAATACAACCTGAAATCAGACCAGCTTTTTATCATAAGTATGGATTTAACACCCTTGAGAACATTCGGTAGCATTTTTGCATCAACTGGTTCCATTCTGTCATGAAATGCGGCTTCACAGAGGAAGGTCAAAGCTGAAAATCTTTGGCATCAAGCAAATGCAGCCCTTTTTATTGTTGTCATCTCAGAGCTGAAGGAGCAGCTGCTGGCTCGTTCGTCCCGCGTGGACGACATTGAGCGCATCAAAGCAGAATTTACCGAACAAAAGCGTGAAATCAAAGAGCAGAATGAGGCTGAACTGGAAAGCTTGAGGAGGTACTGTATTTCTAAACACGACGGTGATGTCTTTTTGTGTTTTGTTGAAATAGAAACTGGTCTCCTTATTATGGTTCCCAAATGTATTTTTTCCCAACCTTTAGTGTGCCAAGGCACATATTTGATATTTAACAATATCATGACACACACCCAATCAAATAAAACAAAGTATTTAGTTTACTTCTGAGTTCAATTCGTTCAGAGACCAAGCCCTTAACCCCATTTACTCATATTATGTCAAATAACAAAGAGAACGGAATGAAATTAACTTGTTTTGTAAAGTGTAATTAATCTGAAAGTCACACACACACAAACTGTAATATTCGGGTATATAATTTCATTGCAGCAGTTGACAACATTATGACTGTGCCCCAACCCCTCTCTTCAGGTACTTTGAGCAGCGATTGCGAGTGTCTGAGGAAAGCTATCGAGAGGAAATTGCTCTGCTCCAGCTGAAACTGGTGGAAAGTGCTTTGGAGGAGTCTGTGCTTAAAACAACAGACCGCAGGTAAACCAGCGAAGCCACCTGAACTCGTATCCGAAAATACTCTAAACATTTTTCTCATCACCTATTCGCTTCAGCTTCGTACCTCAAGATCCCGCTGAAGAGGAAACGGATGACATGCAACGTGACACCAGCCTTGAAGTGGACAAACAAAAGGTATTGTGAACATGGCTTCTTTTGCTTTTGCCAAACTTGCTTTAAATTGCAATCAAATTCAAACGGTCAGCACTAGGCAGGATCCTGTCTTTTAAAGCTACGCTTTCTCTTCGTGTTTTGGCTTTCTTCCCTAAACGTGGATTTTAGGTCCAGTGAAGACTCGACATTTATTGTCCATAGGTGTGAATGTGAGTATGAATGATTGTATGTGCTCTACGAGTGGCTGGAACCCGGTCCAGGTGTACCACGTCTCTTGGACAGTACCAGCTGGGATAGGCTCCATCTCACATTACCTGAAACAGGGAGATGCTATATGAAAAGAATGGATGGATGAATGCTTTTTTTTTTTTTTTTTGTTACAATTTGGTATTTTTCAAGTAAAATGCAATTTTTTTTTGTATCGGTTTATATACCACAGCTGCGACTGTGCTGTCAGAGCTTTCAAATTGACTCAAGTGCTTGAATGCATAGACAATGTGTATGATGTCTCAATATTTTGTTGTATCTAGAAAATGCTTGACACTCAAATGGAGGACAAACACATCCTCGAGCTCAGTGACCTACAATCATCCTTTAAGGAAGAACTGCAGCAAGTAAGAGATGTTTGTCCCATCTTTAACTTTTCTTTTTCACATGAAATTAAGTCTATATCCCCCTGCCCCCTCTCTGCGTGTTCGGTTAGGTTCGTTCAGATCTCGCGGACCATTACTACAGTGAACTGCAAGCGGTGAAGAACCGCCATTCCCTGGAGCTAGAGCAACTCAGAGCCAAACTTTCTGACCGTCACATACAAGGTGCTTTACTATAGCTAAATATTTGTTTCCCGTTTGATAGGCCCGGGCAGTTCATCAATAAGTTTGTGTTAGTGTGGGGTGAATAAATCATTTATTTTCTCTCTTGTAGATATCACTTGTGTCCACATGGAGGTGGCGAGACAAGTCGAGGTGAGAGGATGATGCTAAATACTTTGCAAATGGCTGCTCTATGACACAATGTTCTCATTTCCATCAGGTGGAGGTTGAACTGCGGTTATGGTGCTGCACCGAGGAGCTACACACCAGCTTGACCCTCATCCACACCCTGGAGAACACGCTGGCCGACATGAACAAATGCAACGCGGAGCTGCGCATGACGATCGAAAAGGTATGGGGACAATTCTTCAAAATGTTTTTTTTTTTTTTAAATGACATTTGTATCCTAATCATACGATTGCTTAACTGTAATGTCTGTCGCAGCTGAAAACGGAGTTTGACCAAGAGCGTGTCAGCCTCAAGGAAGCTCTGACGCAGCAAGGTGAGGAGGAAATGAGGAGGATGAGAGACGAGCACGAAGCCGAGCTGTCCACCATCAAGACTGAGATGGAACAAGAGAAGACGCGCTTGCAGAAAGCTTTCTCAGAGGAGAAGGAAAACACCCTGAAGAGCGAGAGTAAGATTACTCGCGTGAACAGCGACGTGGCCGTCCTTCAGTTTGTAACGCTGCCACTTGTGCCATAGGCCCCCAAGCTCTTAAAACTAAGCATGAAGTAGAGCTACAACGGAAGAAGAGCAGCACGGCAAAGGAAATGAAAGAGCTCACGGTTCTACTCCAACAGCAGGCTGAGGAGCGACTGAAACATGCACAGGACCGGTGAGAGATGTGTTGATAAAAATCATGTCATCGTCGCAGTGACATTGACCATGATTCATTATAATGTGATGACATTGCTCGTAGATTTTCAGACCACGGCGTGAAAATGAATAAATAGTGGTCCTTTTGTCTGTTATGGTGTGAACTGGATTACATCCAGAATGTTGTACTGCTGCTCACATCCAATTGATGTCATCGGTCACACATAAGGCTGCGAGCTAAAAGTGAAAGATGCTCTTTGGAAGCAAACGTGGGAACATTTTGCATTTTACGAAGAGAAGGGAAGCACAAACTGGACAAGTAGTCTGGCGTTTTATTGTGCCTATCGCAGAAAAAAAAAATCTAATATTTTAGCCTTTTTTTCCATTTTTGCAACTTTTTCCCTTAGTTACAACTTTTGCGCAAGATTTGAAAATGTTTGCTCATTAAAAAAAAAAAAATTATGCTGAGTTCACCGCGTGCAATAAGTGTCGGCCAATCGGAAAAGTGTGTGTATGGCACGCAGTCCCTCCCTTCCCCTAATGTCATATTTTATTTCCAGTGTTGCATTAATATTGCTTTGAAAAAGTAAAACTTACTGTGGTGTTCATTTAATACTTTTTTTTCTTCAGATTTGAGGAAGAAAAAGCCGTGTTAGAGCAGTGTTTAGCACAGAAGAATGAAATCTCTCTGGCAGAGCTGCGGAACAAACATCGCACTGAGATGGAGCATGAACGAGCAGCCCTCGCGGACAAACACTCCAAAGAGATGGACTCTCTCAACGCCAAACACAAAGAGCAACTGGACTCGCTCTGCACCAGGCACGGGGACCAGCTTGCGTCTTTGACTACCCGACTACAGTCGGAGCACAAAGGCCAGCTTGATGCTTTGGAAGCGGCCCTCAATTCCAAGCGCAAGGAGGACCTGGAAGCCCTCGAGGCCGTGTTTCAAGAAACCAGTCAGGCCCAGCTGGAGGCTCGAGAAGCGGAGCTGGCTCGGAAGCACCAGGAAGAGACGGATGAAATCGAAAAGAGGATGCTCAGTAATATGGACACCTTGGAAGCCACGTACTTAAAGGAAGTACACGTAAGAACTTGTCGAACTTCAGATTCCCAAGAAAATGTACGAATGCCAAACTGCAAATATGCAGGGGTTTCTTTGCAACCTGCGATGTTCTGCAAGCAAACCAGAATTTGTATGGTTACATTTTGTTGTGATTGTATTTCTAATTCTTCTTTCTGCCTCATAACAGGCACTGCGGGATGAAATGGTGCAACTGGAACAGAGGCACCATCAAGACCTCACCGGTCAAAAAGCGGAGCATCAGCACGTGATGCAGCATTACGCCGTGGAGCAGGAGGCTGTCAGAGAAGAGCTGCGAAAGGAGCTCGCTCAGATGCACCTGGACAAGTTTAGGGCCTTGGCAGCTGAGCTCAGCCAAGTTCACCAGGTGAACAAGAAGCCAAACGTTGTGAAAAATTGCTTTTTTTTTCTCATGAAATTGAGACTTTTTTCCTATAGCTTGAACAATTACAGAAATGCAGTCATGACAATTTTTTTAATTTCAGTTTTATTCCCCCCCCCCCCAAAGTTAGGTTTTTCCTGTAGCATTACATTTCCCTTCTAAATTTACTCTGCTTTATACAGACTGAACTGTCTGCTCAAAAAGAGTCACTGGATGCCGAACACTGCAAAGCTCTGGGTACCCTGAAGGCGCAGGTACTCTCATCGAATCATGCCAATGATGTGTTATACTGGTTATATTCATGATTCAAATAGTAATAAGTTGATCCATTTAATTGCACCGTATGGAAGTCTTTCCTTAAACTGTGGCCTCTGCCCTAAATGACGTTGTGCCCCAATTAATCAGCACTTGTTTGGTCACAGCGAGTTTTTTAGTCGCACCTGTCCACTAACTAAAACGATGAACTTTATTTGAGGGAAAAAATGGCATTAATTATCATAAAAGGATTTTGGTTAAGAAAAAAATGATGCAATTTGAAAAGTATTCACACTGCGTTACCTTTTATATATATGGAGTAAAAGTGGAGCACAGTGAATACTTTCTATAGACCGTATAGTAAACGATTTCTTATCTTCTCAGGTTTTAGAACTGGAGCAGCAACACAGCACTGCTCTTGAGGAGCTCACACAGGCCTTCACCACTGAGAAAGAACAACTCCATCAACAACACCAACTCCAGCTACAGGTGTGTGTGGTGTGTTGTAGGTTGCTACTCACATGTTGTCCGTGTCTCAAACAGACCATTAGAGAGAAGTTTAGACAATCGTCCATCCCTCACCTTGGTGTATTTGTGCAGTTCTGTGAAACTAATACATGATTCATTGTTGCTCCATCATAGGAGCTTAAAGGAGCCTCTGCGCGGGAACTGGAGGCATGTCGTCGGGAGCTTGAAGAGTCGTCATCCAGGCAACGGCAGCACTTCCTGGAGGAGGTGGAGATCCTCAAAGTCCAATCCGGGGAGCTGTTGCAAGACAAGATTCATCACCTGAAGGTGGAAGCTGTTTTTTTGGGGTCAGGGAACTTTTGTAGCAGGTCTCAGAATTTACTTGACTGGGTTTTACAAGATGAAAAGCAAATGTATTTAAATTAGAAGTTGAAACTATGATAGAAATGTTTTTATATACCACTAGAGGGAGCCAGTTCACCACTTGTAGAACCGAAACTACATTTTGTGAATCACTGCTTTATGAAGCTCCTCAACTCACGCAAACAGTTGCATTTCACAAACAGCGGATAGGTGTTTTTCTGTGAATTAGGCTTGGCTAAAAACATTTTTTAAAAAAATGACAAAATTGAGAATATGCAGGGAGTGCACTGCATGTCTGTTAGTTCTTCAATTTATCTAACTGTCGTTTTGAGCCAGCATTATGTAATCTCTATGGATTATTTCCTGCTGTTGTGTGGTTGCTACATTGCGTCTTTAATCTCCAGATGCACCAGTTCATTTGAAGGTTTTTTTTTTTTTCCCTCCCCCCCTCCCTTACCCCTATTGGACTCCTTCCCAGTGGAGCTTTATTCAAACCCAGTTTCTGTTTAATCCTGCCATCATATACGAGGCGGTGCGTGCTTGTCAGTCTGTCTGTATGTGCTTTGGTACATGCGTGTTTTTGCATCGCTGCCATCTGAACTTGCTAAAGGGGATGGATGTAAGCTTTTTATCCGTTGATGCGTAAGGTTTTTAGGATGAAGCTTCTTTTTTCTTTTTTTCTATTTCTCTCTTTCGGACAGTTCACTTGCATCTTAAAAGACACAGCCAAAGAACGACAACAAACAGAAGCGCAAGCGTTGTTTTTTGTTCCTCCCCGCAATTCATGCATCGCTATTTCTCTCAAGGCTGAGAAGGAGGCGGAGCTTGAGGACCAGCGCCAGGCCTTGAAGTCTGAACAGGAAGAGAAGGAGCGCAACTACACCAGCAAAATGAGTCAGCTCACCGCACAACTGCAGCAGCTTGACGCTGTGGTTGCACAGGTACTATTCACACACATGCAGTCAACAACCTATTAACCTCGATCATGTATGATACATATGTGCAATTCCTTGATTTGGCTGTAGGGAAAATAGTTATATCAAAAAATAGTTTTACTTATTTATTTATATTTTTTATGACCATGCAAAAGTCATGGCCACCGGTGGATATACATGACGCATGCTTCTGTTTTATTCTATTTCTTCTTCCATCTCTTCTATTGTCTATTTTGGCAATAGTTTTGGTGCATTGCTGCCTGTGGAAAGAAGGTGGCAGCAATGCACAGAAAGTCAACGGAAATTTTGGGTGCCAATCCGAGTCACACCTGAGTAGAATTTGCAGGATCAGTCAAACAATGGGAAAAAAAGTACGATTTGTTAAAAAAAAAAAAAAAAAATTGTACCCTTTTCCACTTTTGTGGTGGCACATAAAACGCAGAAAATACCTTGTTAAACATTTTCCAGAATATTTTAATTAAGATTTGTTTGTGGTGCTGCAAATGGCAGGTGAATGTGTGCATACACTTTGCTGTTGTCATAGCACCTGGCACTTGGCTGTTTGATAGAAGATATTAACGCATACACTTAAACCTCTCCTCTATCATGACTGAGGTTAGCAAAGAGCAGCTTAAGAGAGGGGCTGGGAGGGTTCTGTTTCCCAGGCAACGCCATTGTTTGGCTGATGCAGGTGGCGGCATGAGACATTTTTAACGGGAAGCAGGAGGGAGAGTGAAAAAGGAGGGAAGTTCTGTTGGTAGCGGTTGTGGATAATGAAATAAGGACACTTGGATGGAAAGGTCAGGAAAAATGTAGTCCTAAAGTTGGACAAACTTTTGTTTTTAAGCCAGAATGCACTAGATGCGTATTTTAAAAGTTTAGGATTCATGAAGAGTGTTAATAGCATTCACAAGTGTCGTCTGTCTTTCCTCTCAGTTGCGGGCAGAGGTTGGCTGCCTGCAGGGAGAGTTGGAGGGAAAGCGTGCTGAGATGGAGACCCTGGACACTCTCCTTCAAAGACGGGAGCGTGAGAGTCAGGAGGGAGGCAACCTTCTCAAAATGCTCACCGATGACTTGCAGACCGCTAAAGAGGAGAGGTTGGTCTCCATTCAATACCTTTTTTTTTTTTTTTTTTAAATATAAGAATGGGCAAAGAAAAGGTTGGTTATTATTTTGCCATCAAAACCACATTTTAATTGTTGGTACTTTGAGAAGAAAATGACTATTCAGATGTTTGAGGCGCCACTAAAGCAAAATTATTAGCATAAAAGTCTCTGTTGCCAGAAACACAAGATTATGTGAGTCTTGAAAGATCAGTGAGAATGCATTGATTGGCACTCCAGTGGTTGGTCTTTTTTTCTTTAACGGTTGGCATTGAAAGAGTTAAGGACTTGAGGTGTTTGTATTTGAGCTCTTTGATCTCAGGCGGTCTGAATAGAGTGGCCTGGCTGAGGTGGAGTTTCGGTCTTGGTGACAGGTAAACGGATGATTCATTGTTCCATTAGTGTTATACCGGACATCACAAAATATAATAAAACATTATCACTGTCAGGTTTTATAAAAGAAAAAGATAAATCTAAACTACATTGGTAAGATTTACATGGGTCATTGAATTGGCTTGGCTCTGATCACTGTCAGGTTTTATAAAAGAAAAACATATATCTAAACTACATTGGTAAGACATAAGATTTACATGGGTCATTGAATTGGCTTGGCTCTGATGTCATAGACAGTTGGGTCACCAGGCCTTATTTCGAGGCACACAAACTTGTAGATACTCATCTTGCTGAAGTCCTGGATGTCAATGTGGTCAATGTACTTGACCTCATAGGGATGGGTCTTTTTTTTTTTTTCCCCCCTCTGATGTGCGTCATGGCTTCTTTTTCTTTGTGTAGACATAAACTGCACCAGGCCAACGACAAGCTGAAGAAGGTCCTGATTGAGATGCTTCGTAGCACAGTTGCTACTGAAGAGCTCATCGGCAAAAAGATTAACACTAGAAGCAACATCTCTGATGAAGCTACTCATCAGAGGAGCTCATTAGGGAAGAATGATGTACAAGAATCAGGTGAGTCTTTTTTTTTTTTTTGGCAGTTACTTGTGGACTTTACTCATCAATTCACACTCCCGTTTCAATAGGCATTTCGGTTGCAGATCTGTCTCTGCCTGAGGACTTGGAACTGACACACCAACTCTGCGAGAGTCTGCTGGTTTCGGACATGCATATTAATCCTGGAGGAGAGGAGGCAGCCATGAATGCCTGCAACCGACTGCACCATACAGTCGATACACTCCTGGACCTGCTAAACCAGGCCAATGCACAGGTACTGTACACTGTGCGTTGGACCTCCTAAGATCACAGATAGCAAGGGCTAAATTGATCCCCAGTTGCCGAATACCTCTAACCCGGTTGTAATCCTTCCTCCAACTGCAGCTGGAGCAGACACATCACGTCCACTTGTCTCTGGAGGAGAGGTTCGCTCAAGGCCAAGAGGATTCGGCCCAATTGCTCAAGCAGCACAATCTCTTGTTGCTGCAGATTGACCAGGAGGTCAGGTTGAAGAGTCAGCTGGAGCTGGAATTCCACAAGGCTGAGGGTGAGCCAATTTATTGTTGAAGGCGATATATTATATTAGTGTTTAGCACAAGTCTGCAAATGTTCTCCTCAAGCTTGCACCGGTTTTCTCCTAGAACTCATTCTATTATATTGATAATGGTGAACGTAATTTGATTAATTGTTCCAACTCTATAATCATGTAGATTCTTTCAATTTCAAAGTAACAATGCGCCCATCACGATACATTCAGGGCTCCTGGAGGGTTACGTGGCTGACAAGGCCGGTCTGGAGGAGGCCTTGCTGCAGAAGGAGGCGCAGGAGGAGCGCCTAGTGGAGGAGCTGGAGGACCTCCGGAGGAAGGCGCACCAGACGGAGGGCCTCTGCGCTGAGCTGGAAAACCTGCGAGTCAAACACCAGGAGTTGAGCGAGGAGCACGCTGCACTCCTGCGCCAAAAGGAGCACCTCTCCGCCGGTCTCGGGGAGAGGGAAAAGGGTGAGTGGAGCGACAGGTCCGAAAATGTCCCCTTCACTGAGCGAGCTTTGGCATGCGCTTATGTAACGGGACTGCTCAGATGTGTCTTCTCTCCTCCAGGCTATTGGCTCAATTTAGATCCTGCTGCCTGTTTGTAGGTCAGAGTATGCTTGCAAAGAGGAGGTGGGGAGGCAGTGTGCTGTGTTTTTTGGTTGCTTTCATGCCGGCATCATTGCCAGTACGCCCGCTTGTGGTAGATGCACTTGCAGTGTAGTGCCGTGTTCTTTATTCCTTTCCTTACATTTCCTTCAAATGTTTGCAATCTGCCTTTTTTTTAATTTTTATTTTATTTATTTTTTGGGGATGATGTGTTGCTCAGGGGTGGAAATTTTGTGTTAAGTTTCTGGAAAGTTTGATACATTTCCATGCAAAGTTGAGACTTGGATTTTTGGGAGAAATATTCCAGTTTGGAAATTTTCCGTTAGAATTCACTGTGATTTTTAGGTTTATTTCATGGAAAATATTATATTGCTGCATAAATATCAGGGCCCAATTGATATGTTTTGTTTTATTATTTTTACGGGATTTCAATATTTGGAGGAATAAAATTCAATCTAAACCCCTATTTTTATCTTATTTAGTTAGTATTTGGGTGGGGTGTTCAATGTCATCTTTGTCTAATTTTGTAATGTGTTTAAAAATAAAAAAAAATCAGCCATAACAGGGACAAATGCAGGGACATTTTGAGTTGACTCTTGAAGTCCTCTCTGAAAAGATAGGCCTGAATTTTGTAAATCAAGAAATTCCCATAGAAAGTTTCCATTTCTTGGAAGTTTGCACCCCTTTTATCTGTGTAACTGTATGTAATTACCCAACATCGAACGTACAGTATGTGATCTTGATTGAAGATGGCGATAACGTTTCACCATTTCCCACCCCCAAAGGTCTGCTGGCAGAGACTGAGCGCCTGACCCAAGACCGTCTCGACCTACAACGGCAGGCTGAGAAGGACCACAGCTTTCTGTCACAGCGCCTCCGGACTCTGGAGAGGGAGCTCGAGGAACAAGAGATGAAGGGCCAAGAGGAGCTGCTGCACCACAAGAACCATATAGAAGACCTCAGCCAGCAAGTGCAAGCGCTGGAGAAACAGCTCAAGCACAATCGACAGTTCATCGAGGTAATGGGAGAAATCTCTCTCTCGTAATGTTCCGAATTCCTGTTTCCACGCTGGTGTCATATAAAGCAGATTGACGGTGCTGTTTGCAAAGGGCTACTTGGATCTACGTCAGCTTCACATAGTGAAAGTCATTTGATTCCACTTGCAACCATAAAGTGTTCCTGCTTTGCTGAGTACTTGTAATCTGCTTTTGCGTACAGTATGTAGATAAAAAAATACTGTATATACGAAAGCTAAAAATAAATACATTAAACCTGCGCCCATTTGTGAAATGCAATTCCTGCAGAGGAGCAACAACAAAGTGAGGCTCATTGTGCGTTTGACGCCGGAGGAACCAGATTGGTAAACGTCTCAAGATGATGCAGAGAACGGTTACGGATCGCTACTGGCAGGAATGGAAGTTAACAGCTGATCAACAGCAACACTAAAGAGTCGTTTGTGGTTTACAGTGCCTCCACTTTTGAGTTCAGTTCATTCTGATCTACATTTACTGCAAGCTCCGTTAGCTTGTCGATCGTCTTTTGCATTATGTGATAGCATTTAAGCGGATTTTCATTCGACAAATTGAATGTGGTGCCACACCCAGTTGAAGTTTACTGTTAAATTAAACATAAAACCAGAGTAACACTTGTATATAAAACAAGCAATCTCCTTTGCTTTCCGCTTTGGATGGGCGCTTGCTTCAAGACACGAATCTTCAACAGTCGGCTCACCAATTATCATTTCCATCCCAATGTTTTCATGTAAGTGACTTGGATTTCATTTGTGTTCGAACAGGAACAAGCCGTTGAGCGCGAACACGAGAGAGATGAGTTCCAGCAGGAGATCCGACGGCTGGAGAGTCAGCTCAGGCAGATGGCCGGCGGCGACGTCAAAGGGCATAGGGTGAGCGCTCCCTGCCCATCTTAACAAATTCACACACCCAATTATTATTTTTTTAATTAATAGATCCAAAATGCGAAAGATGAGAGGTGCATGAATGTGTGTCATAATGATGCTGTTTAAGAATTAAACAGCTCTTAATCCGTAGCCGCTCCCTGCCCATCTTAACAAATTCACACGCCCAATTATTATTTTTTAATTAATAGATCCGAAATGCGAAAGATGAGAGGTGCATGAATGTGTGTCATAGTGATGCTGTTTAAGAATTAAACAGCTCTTAATCCGTAGCCTATTGGTGTTTGCTTGAGGTTGGAGTGATAAAACAAAAGCTTGACTTTTGCCATGTTTTTATTCCTGTGCTGAATGGACTGCTGTAGTTTGAGGACTTGGTTTTGCAGGTACGGACTTAAACCAGAGCAGACTTCTCTGCATCTTATGCATGGTGTCCATTGTTGCATCATTATCATTCCTCTTATGCCCTCTTTCTTAATTTTTATTTGTAGTGGCCCCTTTCGTCATCTTGCATGCATTCATTAGCTTCCTCCTCGTCTAATTCCTTCTTGATGTCCATGCCGTCCCCTCCCCTTTGAATGGCTTGACTTCATCATTCTCACCTAGATGCTGCTCATCGGGAATGGCTCCTTTTTAGTTCCAAATCATACACGGTGGAATTTCCAAAGTCAAAAGTCATGCTCGGATATAAAAGATTTCAATATTAAATTAAAACCTTGTTAGAAAATCTCGTGAGACTTCAGGACAGGTGGGAAAGGTGTGGAACACCGTTCACTTCAAAACTTCAGTATCACACGAGGGATTGCAGATTCTGACTTTGGAGGTTCCACCAAGGCTTACAAATTGCATTGCTACATTACAGTCTTATTCTGCCCCCATCATATTTTCCAAGGTGGAGAGTCTGCAAGCCATCATCAAAGACAAGTTGGAGGACCACGCCTCCTTGGCGGCGGCCAACCAGCTGGCACAGAGAGAGCTTGCCGAACGCAACGAAGAGATCGACAAGCTAGCTGTGCGAATCCGTGAGCTGGAGCAAGCGCTGCTCAGCAGTGCCGAGTGTAACGGAGCCGTTGGCCAACTGGAACAAGAACTCCACCGGGCCAAGTTGAGGGAAGAGGAGCTCACGCAAGTGAGAGCTATTTCTATTTACATATTAAATCCCGGCGTATCACTTGCTGCCCTCAAATTTTGGCTTGCAACGCTCTTAAACTTAACACGGTCATTTCAGCCTTACGTTAAATGAATCTATTCTTGAACATCCTTCTCAGGATAAGCAGGCACTGGAACAGCAGCAGTTGTCCAATAGACTTCAGATATCTGCGCTGCAGTCCAAACTGGATGAGACGAGACACTGTTACCATAACAGCACGTGGGAACCGACCCAGGAGCTCAGGGATGCTCTGGACGCGGCACAGCAAAGCCTACAAACCAAGGAGCAAGAGGTATGGTGCATTTTGTCTTTGGTTTACAGTGTTTTAACAATTACAATTCCGGCGAATACATTTTTTTTTAAGGCGGATGTTCTACTGGGTCAACTGGACAACGTGCAGAGGGACTTAAGCATTAAGGAAGCAGAGCTGAAACACCTCACGCTCCAGCTGGAGCGACTCACCAGTGAGAACACAGCACACGTTAATGAGCTCCAGGAGCAGATTGAGGCCCTCAAGGTAGGCCTGTCCTAAGAGATATGATTATTTTTTTTAAATATACTTAATACTTGTATACTTGTTTGACAGCCGCCTTTTTTTCCCCAAACCAGGAGCATTTGTCCGCCCTAAGCATTCTGGCAGAGGAAAAAGAGGGACAAAGAACGGTGGAAGACCAGAAAGAGGAGACCCTCCCCTCTGCTCTACTGGAGGAGAAGAACCACGAGATTGACCACCTCACCACTGAGATTGAACGGCTGCAAGAGGAGCTGGGGAATACCAACAATAAGGTATAAAATAATCATAAAGCCTGGATTCCACTAGGGGTTAAACGAGTCCTTAAAAAAAAAAAGCCAAATAGTACATGGACATAAATGCGTTGGTATGCTTTTATTTTGAAGTTGTTGTTCCCAGCAGTGTGTGGTGGTGATTGTCCTGATCATCTTGCTGTCACAAACTGTTGCCACCAACATAAACACAATGTCAATACCTATTTACGCTTGATTAGTATTTGACAATTTTGTATTTGTTCCCCTCAAAGGATTTGGAGGCCGAACTCCACGACCTAAGCTCGCAAGTGGAACATCTCCGGTCCGAAATTGCCAGGTTGCGCCAGGACAGGCGGGACGAAGAGGAGCGCCTCCATGAGGTCATCAGCACACTGCAAGCGGAGCTCTCTACGCTCGGGCCCAATGTGTGCGAAGTGAGCGACTCGCAGGACGGCGATAGCATCAATCCCTCGCCGACTCCCAGCCCCGAGCCTCAAGGCGGGCCCAGCAGCCTGAAGCACGAACTCAGCTTGACTCACTCGACCTCTTCTCGGCCCCTACGCTCACGCCTCAAGGCTCTTCAGAGTCAGCTGGAGACGGCAGTGGCGGAGAAGGAGGCCTTGGAGCATTTGTTGCTGACCCAGGAGGAGGAGTACAGAGGACACGGCGAAGAATTTGGCCGAAGGCTGAAGGCGGAGCGGGAGAAAGCGGACGAGCTTCGAGGCCTGCTTGCTCTCAAGGAGGCCGAGTTGGTTGGCATCGAGGAGGAGAGGAGTACTTTCAGACTGCAAGTGCAGCAGGTGGATGCCCTGCAAAAAGAGAGAGACCACCTCAGCATTCTGGTTACTCAACTTCAACAGAAGGAGCAAGACTTAGTGAGAGAAGTTGAGGGTTTAAAAACCCAAGAACAAGAAATGAAGACTCACAGCCTGACTCTAGAAGCACAAGTCCAGAGGCTACAAGCCGAAGTGGCCGTCGCCGAGAAACAGGCCAGGGTGGACACCGCTCTCGAGACCGTCAGGGCAGAGCTGTTGGATGAACGGGAGGCACTGAGGAAGAGGGAGGGGCAGCTCCAAGAGGAAATTGAAAGGCTAAAACAAGAAGCCGCCGCACTGACGATCCGCGTTGAGGAGCTCACTTCTCAGCTCCCGGAACAACAGACTAGTCAAGAGGATGCTCAAAAGGAACTGTTGGTGAGCCTATTTTCCTCACAAAAAGAAGAAAAGAGCTAGCTCGTACTTTACATAAACTGTGTAATTTATTAAACTCATCCATTGGTATTTACACACACTCAATATTTGGTTGAAACCACTGGGTTGTCTCATGTAAATGCTGAGGATGTATTTATTGCTTTGGTGACCTTGCTGGAGCAACTTCTTTTCTTTAAAAAATGACTAGCAACAAATCTAGAGACTTTGAATGGAGTCGGAGAATCTCCAGAGGTCCCAAAAAAGCCAGACAGACTAGAATATTTTCAACCCTCTATTCAGACTGCAAATGGGTGACGCTTGCGCAAAGCCACCACTGATTCACTTAACTATTTTTGAGGTCAAGTTGACTTCTGTAGTGAATCATTTGAGACACAATCCACAGCACCTTTGCTGGAGTACTGTACACAAGTTTGCCTTACTGCAAGATACGATTAACCAAGCACACCATCAACCAGATTCAATTCATTAATGCATCTGTATTCCGAGTTTTCGGGTGAAGGACGGGCTTTTCGTTCAGGTAAAATCAAAAATCAGAAATTTATAATTTATTTCTGAAACAGTGACTACATGAGTTCATTGTAAGATAAATACTGTATGCGAGAAACCTGATATGATCAGCTGTTAAATAATACTGTACCAGTGCAGTTCATGTTTTCTCCACTTTTGGGCGGAAATGAGTCCTGTTTGGGGGTTGGGCTTCAGGGAGGTCATGCCTCGCTGCCACTTAAAAAGTGCAGTGCAATGCAGCTCTGCTAACACACATCTGGTTGTAGTTAGGGCGGAAGGTATGTCACGGCAACATCGCGGGGGAAGTGACATTGAAATGAGGAAGTGGATAAAAGATTCTGTGCTGGCTTTTTTTTTTTTTTAAAGCTGCCCCTTGTAAAGCTGTGTGATTTTTGTTCGCCCAGAAAGCTAATTTGGATTATGTTGGACTACTTAGTGTCTCTCTGCTGTGATCCAGCTCTGTTCACGTTGCGGTAAATTCAAAAACGGATCACGTTGGTGTCGTTGCTAAACAGTATTTGGTGCTCATTGAATGAATCTAACTCGAGAACTGGAGAAGTTAAAGTTGTCGAATGACGGACTAAATCCCAACGAGACCTTTTCTTTGTTTTAGACCCATGCTGAGGAGACTCTGGCTAAAACCGATGCCGCCTTAAGGCTGAGGGAGACGGAGCTGGCGAGACTCGGGGCAGAGCATCAGGCCCTGAGGGAAGAGTTGACCACTGTGAAACAAGACTTGAGCAACAGCACCCAAAGAGCAGAAAAACTATGCGAAGAAGGACAGGTAACAACCAGCCGCAGAAAATACTATTCTGGCATACGACTGTTATAAATGACGCAACTGTAACTAGTTTACGCAGTGCTTTCAGAATACATGGTCACAAGGCACAGTAGACATGCCCATTTACCTCTTTCAATTGTTTGTTTTTTTTTTTCCATCATAACTAAGTGACAGTAAATAATTTACTCAGAGTAATATGGAAGGATGAGTTAAATTTAGTAAAATATTTTTGGTTGAGTGAGATAATTTTTCATGGAAAGTCTCGACTTGTGGGAAATTTATTTTGTATTTGCTCACATGCATTGTATTAATACCTGACTGACCCTCTTTCATACTCCGTCGTTAGAGCAAAGACCGTGCCGTGGCAGACCTGGAGAACGACAACCGGCTGCTGAAAGTGGAGCTCGAACGCCTACGGGAGGACCTGAATGCGCAGGAGGAGACGCTGGTCCACCAGGAAAGAGAGCTGCATCAAACCAGACTGCGTGGTTGTCAATCAGACATGCTTGCTCACCATGAGGGAAGCTCATACAGGGGTAAGTCCTTGATGGCTTTGGCAGAATGTCTGTGGGTTGAGCACATGCTTCCCCAGGCATTAGTTAGTTTTTAATTTTATAATCTGTCCTGTTCGGCTGCGTTCTTCTTCTTCCAGAATATCTCCCCAAAAGCTTCCTGACTGAATAATTTCGATACTGAGCCCCATGAAGTCTTGCGTGATAGCCTCATGATGTCACCATGATCATCTTTTTAAAAAATTCTGGCTTTTGGCGCATATTTGCGCTTGAATTGGGTTCAATTTCAAACTGTACGACTTCTGAGGTTCATTAACTCAAATAGGTGTCAGCAGTATTGTGGTTCGTGTTGTCACGATACCAGAATTGGATACTATAACTGCACAAAGAATCTTGATACTGGAACAATATTCATGGCAAACACATAAAACATGAGGAGAAGAGTCAAATAATAGGGGTGAAACTCACTCTTAAAATACTAAAAACACATCCTGTCATTTTTACTTTTCTGGTACCAGTGTAACATGCAAGCCTTTATTTGTTTGTTTATTTGCTTGTAACAATCGAATGTCCTTCTTAAACTTACCTTTCAGATGTTTCTACAAGCCTTTATTTATTTGTTTGTTTATTTGTTTGGAACAATCAGAATGTCCTTCTTAAACTTACCTTTCAGATGTTTCTCAGAGGGCTTTCGAGGACATAATGAGAGTCTACCGTGACAGCATTTCTCTGAGCTCCCCGGAGGTGTTGCAGCACCTGGAGTGTTCCGAAGACTTCCTCCAAGAACAGTTTCCCGCATCGATTCTGGGCTCTCGTCTGTCTGAGCTGAGCGCGCTTGAGCTGGACCACCCTCGGGCCAACAAGTCCCCAGTGGCGGCAATGGAGCCACCTCTTTCCAGGACCATCACCCCGGACCTGAGCACACAGAGCAGCCACTCTCCTCGATCTCTCTCCGTCTCGGACAACTTCTCCATTGTGGACTCTGTCAGTGCAGCTAAAGTATGTACTCACCACGGGATTGTAGAGTGAAATTCCAAGATTTTGGACAATTTGAAGTTCAACTAGGTCTCTAAATGATTCTGCGATTCTCAAACATAATGGATGAATTTAATAATTGATTATTGTTGCACCTCTATAATATTTGGCAAGGACTCTTTCATATCAATTCGGCATTTACTGTACTAACGTTGCGCAACTCGCCGTGACCAGCTGGTCAGCTGTTAACGCAAGTACTGTAGGTACGTTTTTGGAACAAACTTCTCGAATAGCTGCATTCACGAATGCCTGTGTGCCAATCGGCTAGGATTGACTGCATATCAATATTCTGTTTCTCTGAGGTGTGTGATTTGGAAGGACTTGACCAAACAGCACCCCCCTCACCGCTCGGCTCTACCTCCTCCATATCGGTGCAAGAATGGGCAAGCGATGGCTACGGCAGCAGTGAGTAGCCATGAGCTCCCCAACTGCAGCACCGACTAATTATTAAAGCTTTTCATCATCGGTTATGCTTCAGACGTGAGCTCTGAGCTGGGCGCTAGGCTGCGAGTGGAGCTGGACCAGACTGAGAGACTGGACGCTCAGTTTGTGGAGTATCTCCGCTGCCGAGGCATGAATCCCACTGCTAATACTGACAGCGCTGCAGGAAGCATGAGCTACAGCGATGACCTCTTGTCTCCAGAACTTCAGGTAGACTCTTCCCCCGGCCTTATTGCACAATAGTGACAGTCTGTCACAACACAGCGGTTGGTGAATCGTTGCTCTAATCAGTGTTTGTGTTTTTAACAGGCCCTGTTGAGGAAAGTGTACCAAGAAGGCTGCCGACTGCTGACCTTGTCCCAGCGTCGGGCCTCATCCTCGTTCCATCCGTCATACTTGGCGGAATTAAACTCACCCTCGCAACTGCAGGAGAAAGAGCATCCTGCTCTACTGGGTCAGGGGGACAAGCTGTCCTCCAACCCTCCCATGGGGTGGCAGGAGGAGAAAAGGGCCCTGCAGAAGACCGTGATCACGCTACGTGAGCTGCTTTGCCGAATGGCACAGAGACATGCTCCTGTGAGTTTTGAATCGTGTGACTACCGCTGCCTTATGACAATGACCAAAACTTGCTTGTGGATGCACCTCCATATATATCCCACAAGGTTGAGGTTAGCTTCCATTTGCATGAAAAAAAAAAACCTCAAAATTTAATTCAGCAACACAGGCAATAAATCAGTCAAATGACATGGGAGTGTTTGTTGTAATAATGGTGCAACCAGTGTGTTTGATGCCCAGAATAAAATGTTAAAAGTATGTCATACAAATTCAATGACATAAATGTACGGTTGCGGCCTGCTGGTCCAGTGGTTAGCGCGTCGACTTTATAGTGCAGATGTCGTGGGTTCGATCCCGGCTCTGGCCTTCCTGTTTGGAGTTTGCATGTTCTCTCTGGGCCTGCGTGGGTTTTCTCCGGGTACTCCGGTTTCCTCCCACATTTCAAAAACATGCATGGCAGGCTTATTGAACACTCTAAATTGTCCCGAGGTGTGAGTATGAGCGCGGATGGTTGTTGGTCTTTGTGTGCCTTTGCTGGTAACCGGTTCAGGGTGTCCCCTGCCTACTGCCAGAAGACCGTTGTGATAGGCTCCTCCACCCCCCGCGACCCTTGTGAGGATAAAGTGGATCGTAAAAAAAAAACAAACTCAAAATTAAATTCAGCAGCACAGGCAATAAATCAGTCAAATGACATGGGAGTGTTTGTTGTACTAATGGCGCACCCCCCTTGTGAGGATAAAGTGGATCGGAAAATGGATGGATGGATGGAACTCTATTCACTTTTTAATTCCATCTCCAGGCTGACTCCAGAGGTGATGCTGACAGGGAGCATCTACAGGCAGCTAATGGTGCAATCAGTGTGTTTGACGCCCAGAATAACATGTTAAAAGTATGTCATACAAATCCAATGACATAAATGTACAGTTGCGGCCTGCTGGTCCAGTGGTTAGCGCGTCGACCTTATAGTGCAGATGTCGTGGGTTCGATCCCGGCTCTGGCCTTCCTGTTTGGAGTTTGCATGTTCTCCCTGGGCCTGCGTGGGTTTTCTCCGGGTACTCCGGTTTCCTCCCACATTTCAAAAACATGCATG